CTATAGGCGTACTGTATCGTTGGGTTTTTGTGATTTTTCGTCTATATTGCGAGCATCGCCGTCAAGACCGCCACATCCATAATCTGTTTCAAAACTGCCTCCATTTCGTTCCACCAGTGCTGTGACTGTGTAAGTAACTTTAAAAAAGCACCAAGTTTGTGCTGCCGTTGCTTATTGCTGTAGTAACCTCCTGCTCAGCCTAGGTTTCTCATCACATGTCAAAATAACTACCTAGAGCCTGATAGACCACCGTGAGTTTCACAGAATTGCTCTTAGATAAGTCTACTAGCCTGTGACTGGACTAGACTAGCTCGGTATAATCAGACAGTACAGCTTGCAAAAGTCTATTCCCTGATAGTGAACTTGAGGAAAAATTCGAAATACCAGGATAATACGGCTGGTTCCTCGGTCATCGGACTAAATTCTTTCTTGGGATTAATGCCTACGAAACGAATCTGCACTTCACTTCTCTAACGATGGAGGCGTTTAAGTCATTCTCCTGTAGGTAAGTGCCTGTCTGTTTGTGCAGACATCGAAAATATCTGGTCATCAACCAGCGCGCTTCTGATTGAGGCCGTCTGGGGAAACTAAATATTTCCAGTTTAAATCAAACATGCCAGCGTCCATACGGCAGTGCAGGCCATCTATTTTTTATTACTACCACAAATCGACTTGCTAATTTATTTTCGTAAAAAGGTGTATATACGTTGCTCGTTCGAGGTTTCCGAAGCTTTGGTACGTTGCGTACGCATGCATAAGCCTTGTCTTTCGTTTCTTCACAATTTTCGCCTGCAACGGCTTTCCAACAGTCATTCCTAAATGTCATTCGACTTCCTCTTAAGATCCTTGCTATCGAATGTGCTTGCACCACTAGGCGTATCCGCTGGTGCTTCTGTTGAAAAGATCTTTTCGTACATTCGGTCTCTTCATCTCCGCCTCTTTCAAGAAGCCGCCCGGGGGTTATATCAGCTCCATCATTCTGAGTTGCTCTTCAACTTCCCTCTTGCATCTTTCAGTCTACGTATGTTCCCATGCTGTCATGCTCTTAACAAGAGCATGAAAGTGGTTTGAACTTCGAGGTTTAGATTTTGCCTTTCCCCAAAGTGAATCTCATGTTTACTCAAACCAAGCATATTGTTGACCGACAAACACGGCTAAGGGTTGTTTCTTAGGATTAGTATTGGCTAATAACTCGGCATTATCATTTTGTCTGAGCCATGCCCATTCGGTATTAGAGGTTCCTACTGAACCACAGTTTTCTACTTGTAACACTGGGACAACGAACGCGTGTGATTAAGGAGAATTTCTCTGCTTTCATAAAAGGGAGCTGAACTAATACGAATCAAATGCATCGTTTGAATTAAATGTAAGAAAATTGTTCAGAAGTTGTTTAGGGACGAAAGTGAATGTCCAGGCTGATTATATGAATTGAGACTCTCGCCTTTTCTAATCTAGTTCTCCAAAGACCTCACTCTAAGTTTATGAATCAAATACAGGTTACATCTTAATCTTAGCAGACTACTACGTAGCCTAGAACGCTTTTTTATATTTCTGGCCCGGAACATTAAAACACAAATCTGCACGAAAGCCACCTGCTATACAATTGTTCCTGCGCGTTCGAAAGCGTGATAATGGCCTGCATCAACCACCCTCTTGATGTCCTGCTTAGAAGTACACTGAAGGGAAATTAAATTTAGCATTCGCTCCTAGCAGCCTTTTTGAGAATGGGTTAAATCTTGGCTATGTGCTTCGCTGCCCTGGATATCGTGGTTAGCTACGACTCAAGGACTTCCTACCACCCGGGACGGTTCTCTTCAATAGGTGTGGAGCTGGCTGCTGTCAGGAGCAGAAAGTGAAGCCCCAATCGAGTAACGCGGCTTTCTTTGAGAAGAGGATGACTCGATCGCTGAGACGATACTTTTATTCGCCTGACGTTTCGCGATCCGTCATGGATTCTTTCCTATTCTATACAGAACCATGTTATCACATAACCATGCCTGCCTGAAGTTTAAATTGCCTTAAGGTTGGCTTAACTATCGTTTCATTCATCTGTTTTGCCCATAACCTTTTAAGGTCAACACGTCTGCTAGCACTGGGATGGACTTGGACACCCGCATAAAGTATTGTCTCCAGAGAGCAATGAGCATGACTGCTGCACAGCTCTACGACAAATACGTCGCGCCGTACGGAGTCCGACGACAGGCGAAGACATCGGAAGACCTGGCAAGGGATGCCTTCCAGGCCGGAACAGTTGTCAATCAAAAACTTGTTGAGTTGTTCTCCTTAGCCTTGAAGAACCTAATTGGTGTCAAAGGAGAGTTCGGTCCGATGGGCGTCGAAGGATTTCTTAATCAGAATGCAACGGGTGAAAAGCTGCGAGACCGCGAGAGTCAAAAACCGCTGGTGACGAGAAGGGGAAGGGGTAGAAGAACTGCCTGTTCACCTAAAAGTCTTCGAACTGCCAGTGCTGTGCCCATAAAGCGCACGACGGTAGAGGCAAATGAGCCCTTGGTAACGAGTGAAAATTTTGATGGCCCGCCTGGTAAGTATCATCTGATGAAAGGAACTATTTTAACCAAACATGCGTTTAAATTATTAGGAGGGGTTGGCAGATTTTGAGCAATTCAATTGACCCAATTGTGAAAACGTCGGCGGCCTCGGTGGGATTCGAATCTACGCCAGCAAAGGAAGGCTTGAATACAGCCAACGCGCTAGCCAATTGAGCTATGATGACTCCACCAGGAGCCGTGAGTTTAATCACACTTGGGTTGATTTACCCGACCAGTCTACTGCAACCTATGGGATCCAGCTGTACTGATACAATAAGCTGACTGCCCAAGCAAAATTTCCTAACCAATAAATGTAGAATCCACCAGATGACTTCCAGGTATACTTAATTATTAGGAGGGCGAGAGCATTGGCTGTAGTCAAGCCTTTGCTTGCTGGCGTTGGTTCGAATCCCACCGAGGCCGCCGAATTAAGTCGATTGAATGGATATAAATGATTGTTAAGGGATTGAGCTTTCGCTTTCGCTTCCAGCAAAGTGGAGTGAGGACTGTTGTCAGGAGCTTTATGTTCTGCAACTGTACTTATAAGAAGATCTTCGAAAGTACTCGAAGAAGAATGCTACTTACGGTGCTGAACACGATCGCCTTGAAACAGGCCTGTACAGAAAAAGATTTGTGAAAAATATCTGAACTTTTTAATCCATTTACTGTCTGCCTAGTTAGACAAGTGTCAGTGAGTGCCTATGCATCCAGTCAGCAAATGTGAAATTTCCGAGTTTTAAACCAAGTAAACCCGTTTGGAATATGCAGTAATTCGCGCTTTTGAACTTTCGAAGTGTTCCTGTTTTAGATATGCACATTTAAATTTGATTCCATGAACGTAACGCCGATTAACGAGCTGAGATTGTGGTCTCCTTCACAGGAGGCAAGGACTTTCACATATTGGTGACTGCTGACGCTCTGTTTCACATGGTATCCGAATTCTTAAAGAAATTATCTGAGGAGGGCAGACAACTGAATAATAATAGGTGGAAAGCACTCAGTAAGGCCATGCGGTTTTCGTATTGCAGAAAACCGGACGAATGAGAAAGCCTGCCATGGGTTCTTTCAGTCTACATTATCTAACTTGTGTTCTACTTAACGGCATGACATTAAGTTGACTTCATGCGCTAATTTGACTAACAGGTGGTTGGTTCGTTTTTTTTCTAGAGGTCAACTTCGATAAGCTGAAGTTGACAAAACAAAAAGGGAGGATAAAGTAAATAGAAATTTCACGTGTCGCGCGAAATAGACTGCAAAGATATTTTGGAAGGACTGTCTTTAGCGGTCCTATTTGCGTTTGATATATAGCAATAACCTACTTTTACATTTTCAGTAACCGGCCTTTCCATTTTTTGTTAAATTCCGCCAATATAAGGTCGAATTTCCGCCAGTAGGCATTAGTTGCCTGAGCAACAGCAGTTTACGTTGATGGAGTTGATTCTATTTAGTACAACGAAACAAATATAAGTTTCTTAAATTTAATATTTTTTATCTCTTCCAACACAAGTAAATATTCATTTACACTCACCAACCAAGAATTAAATTTTAACCACAAATTAAGTAAGGCAGTTAGGCGGGGAGAATATATATTCAGGCGGCCCTACAAAACAGTTTTGCCGATCGTTTTTTGCTCTAAAATACGCCCAGGTACTTGGATTGAATGCACGCGCTGTAAAAAGTGGCGGTTTGAACCGGACGTGCGAGACCCGTCGGAGATTTCGGAGAACTGGCAGTGTTGCCTTC